CACCGGAGCTCAATGCTGTATTGGTCGCTGACCCGAGCTGGCCCTCGGGAGCCTCCAGTATGTTACTCGTAAGTAGTACTAGAAAAAGCTGGTCCAAAAAACAATGATAGTACTCGCTTGTCATGCGTAAAATGCATAACCATAGTTGAGGGTCTTTGTACTACTATAAACTAGCTGTTCTTCCCGATTTCGCCCGCGTAAAATTTTTAAAATCGGCCAATAGTTTTTGAGTTATTTAATACACACGAAAATACAAATCTCTCTATAATATTAGCATAAACTAGCTTTTCCCTGTGACTCCGTCCTACTGGAATTATTGAAAAGTAGCCTATGTGGTTTTCCAGACTACCTTCTATGTGTATACCAAATTTCATCAAAATTCGTTCAGCCATTTAGGCTACATACTTTAACATCCATCCATCTGAACTTTCGCATTTATATTATGACTAGCTGTTGGCCGCGACTTCGTCCGCGTGGTATTAGAAGACATACGAACTATAAAAATAACAAAAAGCCGGACATTTCTCGGGAATGAACCTTATCCCATGTGTACTCCAGACTTTGTAATATATCTGTGCCAAATTTCAGTAAGATATGTTGAACCGTTGCAGAATGATCGAGTAAACATTAAAAAACCAAATTAATGAATCCCACGGGAACCCTAAATATTTCCGGGATAAAACGTAGCCTATGAATATTCTCTTATATTATCTTACCAAATTTCATGGAGATCCGTTCAGCCGTTTAGGCTGCAACCGCTAACAAACATCCATCCATCCATCGTAACTTTGGCATTTATAATATTAATATGATTACTTTCAGACGTATCCAGAAGGTATTCGACGTATGATAGCCTGGCTGAGGAGGGAATACGGTGACCTGCCCTTCTTGATCACTGAGAACGGCTACTCGACATCGGGACATAAACTGAACGATCCTGACAGGATTAAATTTATCAAAGATTATTTGAAACAGGTGAGAAATGTAAAAGATTAAGTGCCACGATTTTTTTTTAAATATGGCTGTTTTGAAATAAAATTAGAGTGTCCAGACTTTTCTTTTTCCAGCCCCCTTTCCCGTTGAACTAATTAAAACAAACACGTCTTAAATTTAGCGATTATACTCTATAGTCTATACATAGTCTATGTCTATACATATTTTTGACCGACTTCCCAAAAGAAGGAGGTACTCAATTCGTCTGTATGTTTTTTTTTTTAAATTAAGCTTGATTTCGCAGGTGCTTTTATCTATTTGGGAGGATGGTGCCGAAGTTTTTGGATACACATATTGGTCGTTGATAGATAACTTTGAATGGGGTGATGGTTATGGGTAAATCTTTTTTATTTAAACTAATCTATACATATAATAAAGAAAAAAATCCAGATTTCAGGAAGATGATGAATTTGCGTTGGTTATAACGAAAATCGCATTATTTTTTTTCTATCTGTCCGCAAACTGCGTTTGTTCTGGGTGATCTTAAACATAGATGGGCATATTATAAGCTACTTTTTTTATCTTAATGTTGCGTGGACGTAGTCGCGGGCAATAGTTAGTCTATACTAATATTATAAAGAGGAAAGATTTGTATTTTTGTATGTATTGAGATAACTCAAAAGCTACTTGGCCAATTTCAAAATTTCTTTCACCATTAAATGCTACGTTATCAGAGAGTAACATAAGTCATGTTTTTAAATGTTTTTTTAAACTTCACGCGTACGAAGTCGTGCGCATCAGCTAGTCTTTTTTTTATAACACAAGGTGGCAAACGAGCAAGCGGCTACCTGAAACCGCCAAAATGGCGAAACGACCGCTGCCCATAGACATCCGCAATTGCAGATGCGTTGCCTACCCTTATACGACGGAGGAGACGTTCATAAAGAGAATATTTCCCCTTCCTATGCATCTCCTCCACCGTCAGATCCACTTCCTCTTCCCAATCTCTCCTTAAAAGAAAAGGGTGGTAAAGAGAAAGGGACTTAAATTAGGCCTAATAATATAAATAATTTCAGTGTAAAGTTCGGTCTCTACGAAGTAGATTACAACGATACGTCACGAACGCGCACGCAGCGAGACTCCGCCCGATACTTCGCTGACGTCATACGAACTAATACTATAGATTGTGATGATGGATAAAAACAATAAATCCAAACAAAAGTATAAAAACGTTTTATTTCTTAAACTTCTTTTGCAGTTTTAACAAAGGTTCGTTCTTGCTCTTTCTCAATTCCTTCTTAAGTGCACCTGTTTCTATTGCCTTCTTCATAACCTAAAAAAAAAGAAAATCTATCAGAAAAAAGTTTATGATAAACTAGCTTTCGCTCGCGACTCCGTCCGCATGGGATTAAAAAAAACAAAAGTGAGTAACCTATGTGTTCTTCCAGACTATCCTCTATATTTACACCAAATTTCATCGAAATCCGTTCACCCGTTTAGGCTACAAACTCTAACAAACATCCATCCATATAAACTTTCGCATTTATAATATTAGTATGATGTATTTTTATTCAACAATAACTCAGTAAATATAATAGGGTAACAAAATGTAAAAAAATGTCGCAAAATAATATCTCAACAGTTCTCCAAAGACTGCAAAAAATAATCTTACTAATATTATAAATACGAAAGTTTAGATGTATGGATGGATGTTAGTTTGTAGCCTAAACTGCTGAACGGATCTCGATGAAATTTGGCACAGACGTTGAGGATAGCCTGGAAGAACACATAGGCTACTCACTAATGTTTTTTTAAATCCACGCGGATGGAGTCGCAGGCCAAAGCTAATCTTCAGATCCATTTAAAAAGAAGCAAAGTCTGCATCCTTCTGTATTTTAAAGCAAATTTTTTTCGTTATTAGAAAATATTACTAGTCACATCACAATCTGTCGAAAAAAAAAAATTTAAAACTAAACACTACTAAAAAC